TGGCCTTTAAAAGAGAAGCATAATAATAAGTAAGTCTTGTCGAGATGAGAATGATTAGTTGGATGAGTGACTTTACACTTAGAGACAAAATGCAAAATGAATATATCAGTGATAGGGTTGGTGTAGCTCCTGTGACGAACAAAATTAGAGAAAGGCGTCTTAGATGGTTTGGTCACATTAAACGTCAATCATCTGATGATCCGATTAAGAGAGTAGATGTTTTAGATTCGACTTGTGCTAAGAAAGGCAGAGGTAGACCCAGGAAGACTTGGGCTTATTGTATAAAAAATAATCTTAATTTACTAGAACTAGATGAAAATATGACACTAAATATGACGCAATGGAGAAAAAGAATTCATGTAGCCGACCCCACGTAGTGGGATTAAGGCTTTGTTGTTATTGTTGTTGTTTCTTTGCCTACGAAATGATGCAAATGTACAAGAAGATATCGCGTTGCATGCACCTTTAGAGTAATCCATTTTATGTGATTTATAATTTTGTAGTAAAAAAATGACATTTATAATTTTCATATAACATAGAAATCCATTTATAGATTCAGATTTATATTGCTAACACATATCGAATGCTATCAAAATTAAATATAGGGGGTGCCATTATTTTTATTTAGACTAAAATGACATGTTTTTTTAGCTTCAAAGAAACTTGAGGATAAATTCTAGTCAAATGTTAATGTTTGCAAAACAAATTCATTCATGCTCAATTATGTTGAAATTTTAAGTAAATTTTGTATTTTGCATATATTTCAAAATTAATTATGAGAGCATAAAATTTAATGTCTAAGTGATTTTAATTTGTATAATTCGGGAGTAGCCACAACATCCTTAATTATAAAATTATATATATAAGCTTTATAAATCACATAAATAATTAAAAGACATTAATTGTGATTAATTGTATAAATGTAATAAATTTTTCCCACGTGATTTTTTGTTATATTTATATAAATAATTAGAATAAAATACCAATTTATATTTTCTAATTTACCCATAAGGATTAGAAAAGAGAGCAAAATGTGATAGTTTTCTTATAAAAATTTAGGGTGCATTTGGGGCGGCTGATGCTTTTCCAAGAAGCTGCTGTAAAGCTGCTTCTTAGAAGAGCTTTTTGGTAGCTGTCAAAAAGCTATTGATGAAAAAGCAGGTGTCTATTCAGAAGATCTTTTGTGTTGTTGTTGTTTCTGATGAGATAAATTGTTTTGTCGTTATATATATAATATATTCAAATAAATGCAGTTTTCAAAATATTCTGAACTTAATAATAGAAAGATGTCATACTACTAAAAAAAACTAACAGTCCAGTCCCAAATACTCTAATACATGAAAAAAAAAAGATAAGGTATTTGAAGCAAATGGCTACAATAATGAGGACAATCACGATAATCAGAAAACCTAGAATGTTATTTGTTTTGAAGTCTTGATGATCAAGTCTTCAGGACAATCTCCTCTCCATCCCTGCATCTCCTCGACTGATCATGGTCTGGAGGGACCTTGTTGATCTCATCAACCCAACAGAAGAAGTCGCAATCTGCATGAGTCCTGTTTCTAGGACAAGGATAAAATCTTCTGCAATAGTTGACTTCCATTCTGGACTGGTGTTGAGCACACCTATCGCCACAATAACAAAGCGGAACTTTTGAAGTACTTGAAGATCTTGAGCTCATATTTCCTATTATTATACTACAGTATTGTTCTAATTAAAAAAATTAAAAAAATTAAGTTGATACAACATTCGATAAATTCTTAAAAAAATATAAAATCTTAAAATTAATAATTAAATTTTATCGGCATAAAAAAAAAGAAAGATACAATACAGATTGTTGTATATATTTTGAAAAAAATACATCAAAGAATAACATAAAGATGAAATATGAATCATCAACTACAAATAAGTAGGTTGTGCAACATAAGTACAGTTGTTGCATTCACCAAAGCATCAATAATCTCTTCTCTTAACTTAACATCTCCTCAACGCATTCTCCCTCAAAAGTGTTGTACTCATTTGCCCTAAAGTCCTGTTCTTGCACCGAAGGTTCGTCTTGTTGTTGGTTAGCTTCCACGGGCATGTAGATAGGATTATCATCTAAGACCCTTAAATCGATATCATCTTGGGATGGACCCCTCCGTATAAAATTATAGAACGCAGTCGTTGCAACAACTATCTTCACCTGTTTTTAAAAAAATACGTAGGCATATCTCGAAGTATGACATACTTCTTTTTCCATACACTAAATGCTCGCTCGATGACACTGTGTAATGACGACCGAATTTTATTGAGAGCTCATTCTTCCCTCTAATCAATTGACTGTTGCGCTTAAAGTCAGGAAAATTTGTCGTACAGTCTACCAACTCTTTCTTGAAAGAGTCTTATTATATTTTGTTAGTCTTCTTTATTGAAATATGTGGTTGGTCTATTGTCATTTTCTACCTCTCTCAAGCATGAATCACAAAAAATTATCTTCGTCTCCCTATCTCAAATAGCAGATATCCCACCTTTTTTGTTTACCCATCTAATATTTAAGTAAAAAAAAGAAGCCGATCAATATAATTTGGCATGTAAAACAACAAAAGAGAAAACAATAATATGAAAAAAAAGAATCAAAAGTAGAGATCAGAATCAAAGCATAGATATAAAAAATTACTCAATCCAAGATCACCAATTGTGTTGTCCAGGCATAAAGACCAAGCAGTCTTCGTGTCAAATTAGCATGGTCTTTCTTTTTTTAATATTCACAATTGGTAATCGATTGAGCCTTTTGTTTTATTTTTTTTCCATCATCGCTCCACTAAACATTTCACAAGAAAGGTGAAATGTGCCCGCTAAATCGCACTTTGAAAGCATCACCGTAAACGGAAACCAATCAACCAACGGGTCCACAAACCATCCGAAGTAATAAGATCATATTGTGAGAATCATGCCTGATATGTTAACAGCATATGTTCCACCTTAACATATCTCAACATAGATAGATATATGAGTATTGTTTTACCGTTTCTCTAAGAAATTTTGTTAATCGATTTGTTTGGTCTTGTCACTTAGTGTAGAGTAACATTTTGGGGGGATAATGTTGAGCACTGCTTTCTTTTTCTAGTTTTTTTAGACTTTTATAAACTGAAATGCATATGTTTTGGTGTAAAGTTAAAGTTTACAAAATAGATAAGTTAGCAGCATTTATATTTATCTTAATCAACAAGTAGAAGCTATGGAATGAAATATATATGAGCATCGTTCATCTGTTTCTTTCGGAATTTTTTTGTACTTGTTCCGCATATGCATGCACTGATACAAACTCGAAGATTACATGTCAAATAAGATACTAATAATCAATTTTTTTGCTTTTATCATGCTAGCCAAATCAAGTTCTTAAGCGAATAATTAGAGTTTAGTGAAATCTCTTAACTAAAGAAGAGACCATTCGTAATCATCATTATCCCAAATCAACTAAACACTTGAACGTGTTCTCTAACAGTAGGTAGTATTTGTGGGAAAGCTTCCTCGTCAATTTAAAATTGACAAATGGTGATCAGTTAGTTTCTTTTCTACATTCGCTCTAAATTACATTTGAATGACATCCTCCAATTGATATCTTATCCGACATATAACCTCAATGAATACATATGCATGATAAGTACACATAAAATTCTGAAAGAAACAGATGAACAATGCTCATATATATTTCATTACGTAGCTTCAAGTAGTTGATGAGAATAAAGATAGATGTTGTTAACTTATCTATCATGCAAACTTCAACTTTGCATCAAAACATAACCACATATATTTCATTTCATGAAAATATAAAAAATAAAGCTGTGGTCAACACTCACCCCGTAAAATGGTAATCTACACTAAAGATGAGGCAAGAATTTTCTTAGATAAGACAAATCGACCAACAACATTTCTCATAGAAACTATAAAACAATGTTCATATATCTATGTAGAACAGATATACCG